CCCCCCCCCCCACACACACACACACTCCAACCCAAGAAGGGAGAAGAGAACTGGCCCACTGCGCGGATGAGAGCAAAGGTCAGGAGGCGGCTTGTGCACCATGTCCCTGCGGTCAGCCCTGGTCCTGGCATCAGGGCTCTTGCCTGTGGGACCTCTGTGCCTACCCACAGCTCCCAACAGCCCCTTGAGATCAGCCCAGAGGGCACCGCCTGCAGGGGCCAAGCTTGCCAGTGCCTCATCCCCACTGCAGAGCAGGCCCAAGGTCACAGAGACGCTGTGGACAGAGGGAGGCCTGCAGCCCCGCGGGCGGCCAGGGCAGGGATGCCCGAGAGCGGAAGGTGCAGGGCCCGGGGCGACAGGCTGGAGCAAGGAGACTCCTTGGTGACCTGCTGCCCTTGCTGCTTCTCAGTGACCCAGGCTCCTCCTCCAGGAGGACCCAATGGACCCAGCCCTACAGCCAGGGGGTGGGCATGAGGTTGGCTCCCGGGATCCGCCCTGGGCCCACGTGGCCTGGGAATGGCTGCCTGTCCCCTGCCCTGCAGACAAGCCTCTGGCAGGAGGCTCCTTGGGAGGCAGGTCCCAGGGGCAGGAGGGCCCAGGGGCAGGAGGGCCCAGGGGAGGAGGCCCAGACCAAGAGGGCTGAACCACTGGATGGAGGCCAGCATCTTAAGGGCTAAAGACTTGCTCCCAAACGTGCTTACATGCCCCGAAGCAGATGGACCTCCTCCTCCAGAGAGCTGGCCTAACTGCCATACAGCACGGGGGACCCTGCCCCACGTCCCTGTCCCCAACCTGGTGCTGGACCCAGGCTGAGCCCCCGGGCCTGGCCCCCACCCCGGCCTCCCAGCAAGGGTGAGCCTGAGAACAGAGCCCGGCCTCTTCCTTCAAGAACGACACATCCCAAGACAAGGGCACAGCCTGGTAGCACAGTCAGCCACCCCAGGGCACAGGGAGCGGTGGGGGAGCGCACAGCCCCGCAGAAACTGGCGGTGGGGAGAAGGGGTCACTTACCTGTGTTTTTCTAGTTCATTGTGTGAAGACCTGTTTAGAGAGACAGAAAACAGAGCTCACTGCACTGCCAACCACCGGAGCACGGGCACCTGCAGGGCCGCCCAGAACGGGGAGGGCTGGCAGGTGAGCAGCTGCTGGCCAACGGCTGGGGGACCCTGAACCGGGGACAAGGACAGGCCCCTCAGAAGTAAGCCATGTCCAGGGCTGCCCAGGGCCAGCCAGCTCACCTATAGTGAGGCATGTGGGGCTCCGGCCACAGGAGGGTCCAGATCCTGCTTCAGAAAGGCTGGGTGGGGCCCAAGAAGCCGTGGCAGCCAGTCCTGGAGCCAAAACCCACCTGTGCTCCTCAGGCGGGTCCCTGAGCCCGTCGGGGCACTGAGCTGCCTGCCTTCTCTGCTCCCCACTCCCCGAGGCCAGCGGTATCCCTGATGTTGCCGGCCAGACACCATCCCAACTCCTCAGGCTCACACACCCGCAACACCACAGCCTACTGCACCCATGGGGACACCCAGGGACATAGCACACCCAGCCCATGAGGGACCAGCCTACAAGGAGCCTCTGAGATGTGTCAGTGGGCATGGGGAGACCAACGCTGGCCCTCCACTCTCCTCTAGGTCATGGTCAGCCTCTCAGGGGGCAGCAGCCCCATCTGCTGCTCAAGCTCTCCCCACCTGGCCATTCACACAGGGACGAGAGTCCTGAGCACCACAGTGGGCAGTTCCACATCTCCCTCCCGCCCCCCCAGTCCAGACAGGGACCTCTCAGGCCAGACAGGGCTCCCAGGCTGCCAGGTTGCCTCACATGTGAGCAGAGCGCCAGGCCACCTTTGGGCAACCCAGCCCCAGCCCTGCGCCTAGAGCTTCTGCTGCCCTCTGCCTGCCCTCAGTCTCTCCTGCTCCAGGACCTCAGGGCAGGCATCTCCTGTGTCCACCCATGGGGCCAGAGTGCCCCCCCCCATCCTGCCTGCCTCTGCCACCTGCCTCTGCCACCTGCCACAGCCAACTGGGGCCTACGGCCTCCCCTCCCAGCTGGGCAGCAGGCTCCTGGGCCTCCTGTGCAGCCTCAGAACAGGTTCCAGGGGCCTTGAGTGCCGGCTGGTCACGTGGGCTGGGCAAGGTGCCTCAGAACCTCCCCAGAGCTAGGAGGACACAGTGGCTGGCCGGAACCACAGAGGGGCAGTGTGAGTCTGTAGGCTTGCCCACTTGTGGGGGATGTAGGGGTCAGCAAGAGTCCTGCATAGAGAGAAGCCCACACGCCCACCCCTGGACCCCACCCTGCCAGGAGGGGACTCCTCAGGAGCAGAGGATGGACAGGGGCCCAGAGCCGCTCCTGGTGCAGACGCCTGTGGGAGTTTGTGGGGAGACTGGGCCCAGGTCCCAGTGCACCCTGTTCTGGGCTTCGCTCCCCACGTGGCCTGGGAGAGGTGGGACGCCCTGGCTGAACACGCTCCTGGCATCACCTGGTTTGCCCCTCGTGTCAACCCCTGGAGGTAGCTCTTCTGCCTGATTTCCTGTAGGACCTGACCCCTGGCCGGCTGGCTCCAGCCCTCCTGCTGACCAACGGCCTCTGAAAGCTCTTGGTAGAGCCCACACACACCGCCCCCATGCCCACCACCCAGGTGTGGGGGTGTCCCACCAGGTCAGGGCCCTGTCCTCTGGGCCCTGGTCTGCCCTGGTCCCTGGGCTGAGCTGGTTAAGGCCCATCTGGGCCAGGACGGCCTCAAGGGACCATCTCTGGAGCCCCTGGTGCCTTGGGCACTGGGGGCTCTGTCCCGAGGAGCAGCAGGGAGGTGCACCCCAGTCCAGGAGACCCTCAAGGTCCCCATCCTGGCAGAAGGTAGGAGGCTAGGACCCCACTTTGCAACAGGAGTCCCAGAGGTAGGAGGGTGGCAAGTAGTTCATCTCTGTGCCTGTTTCCTCGGCCTTACAATGGTGATAAAATAACATCTCCTTCAGGGGAGGGGTGGCTATTAGCATACGCACGAGACACTTAGTACGCAGGAAGCACTCACAGAGCCTTAGCTGTGATTCTGGTTATCAGCCTTGGGCACCCTGTGCCACGGGAGTCACACCCTGGAGTTTCCCATGGGTGGCAGGGCACTGGGGACAGTGAGAGCCAACAGCAGGGGCCTGGCAAGCTCTCTGAAGAGGCCTGAGGCAGTGCCACCCACCCAACACTCAAGTACTTTCCCAAACTGTGCCCAGGAGCTGGGACTCAGGCATGTCCGTGTCCGAGCCAGGGCGGATGGAGGCTGAACCCATTCCTTCCAGGCCCAGGGCGCCAGGATGCCACAGGAGATGGGTCCCTGTGCCAGCCTTTCTGTTTCTCCAGCTCTACCCATCTGGCCCTTTGACAGGGACCACACCCTCCACCAGCGGCCCCAAAGCCCCCCACCAGTGCAGCTCCCAGCCTGGGGACATCTGGGCCACGGCGGGCCCTGGGCAGTGCCAGGTGTGCTATGGTCCTCATAGTGGCCAGGAGCGCGGAACACCCCATGGGAGCCGGAGCAGAAGGCCCCCACTACTCCACCCAGGGGTTTGCACCCCAGCTTCAGCACTTCTGCAACCTGGGTGGGGGCGGGGGGGTTCCCGGCACTGGGAGAAGCTGCAGAGCCTGCCCTCCTCCCCTCCCCCTTACAAAGGCCTCCAGGACCAAAGGGGACTCCAGAACTTGTCAGGAGGCTGGGCAAGAACATGGATACCGGGGAGGAGGGGGTCAGGACAGGGCCTCTGTGCACCTTCTTTGTCCAGGCCTCTGAGGGTGGGGGGCTCGGCTCGGCCGCAGGGCTCGGCTCTGGAGGCGGGGGAAGAGGTGCGGCCCATCCACCGCAGCGAGCAGAGGTCAGGGAGGCCACCCCACGCTGCTCTACACCGAGCCTCAGTTTCCCCGGACCCGAGGGGCACCGGCCAACGCCCACTGACAACTTTTTTCCTGCGCGGAAAAGTCCGTAACAACTTGGGGGCGGAGAGCAGCCACGGGAGGA